AATTAAATCCTTAATTTAGGCCGATTCCGCAGATCGGACATATGTGAGTTCGTAAATGCAAAATTTAGTCACGTGCATAAATGTATAACGTTGTACGAAATGCAATAGTCATATAAGGTTTGAACCATCCACGAATTAGGATTCATTTCACAATACTCATTTCTTTTATTAAATTTATAAAAAAAAAATAAAAATAATGGCCGATAATAAATTATTACCAAAATTATCACAAAATATACTCGAAATTTTAAATGATGAAGAATATTATGATATTACTATTGAAGTTGGTAATGACCCTTATATAAAAATATTTCGGGCTCACATGGTTATTTTACATTATCGTTCTCCTTACTTGCGAAGAATTTTATCAACTAATAATAAAAAAAAAAATAATGATATTTTGACACATATTAAATTACCAAATATTTCTCCTGAAATTTTTCAAATAATTTTGAGGTAAGAAGAAAAAATTATAATGATAAATAATTGACGCTTTTTTAATATAAATTATTAAATAAATAATTTTTTATATAAATAATTATTTTTTAGGTATATTTATGGCGGAAAGCTTTCTTTAAATGAATATGATAATTCAGATATAATTCAAATCCTAATTGCCGCTAATGAACTTGGTTTTCAGGAATTAATTCCCTATTTACAATCTTTTTTGATTAAAAATGAAGCAAGCTGGATGGAACAAAATTTTAATTTGATATATCAAACAAGCTTCAAAAATGATTCTTTTTCCGAGCTTCAAAAATATTGTACTGATTTAATAACAAAAGAACCAGTTAAGATATTTAACTCATTAAATTTCTCCTCAATTCCAGAAAAACTTTTGATCACAATAATCCAAAATGATGATCTTCAAATGAGTGTAATTCAGATTTGGGAACACGTTCTTAAGTGGGGACTTGCACGACATCCAGAACTTCCTACTAATGTTACAAACTATTCAAAAGACGATTTTAATGCTTTAAAGAGCACCTTGCAACAATTTATTTCATTCATTAAATTCGACAGCTTGACTTCTAAAGAATTTTTGGATAAAGTATTTCCTTATAGAGAAATTCTACCTGAAGAATTATGTATAAATTTATTAAAAACATTTCTAAGTCTTTCAGATCCTAATATCAAGCCAAGTGATAAGTCAAAGCCTTGTATAACTAAGGAAGTTAACTTAGGAACTATTGATTCAAAAATTATTACATCTCAACATACTGAATTGATCTCAAAATGGATTAATAAGTTAGAAATTACTGACGAGTTAACTCTTCCATATGAATATAAATTATTGTTTCGCGGATCCCGTGATGGATTTACACAAAATAAATTTCACGAAATTTGTGACAACAAATTTCGCACAGTAACAATTGTTAAGGTGAAAGAAAGCAACGAAATTCTTGGAGGATATAATCCATTTGTATGGAAATCTGTTAGTGGGTGGGTTATTACTAAAGATAGTTTTATATTTTCATTTAATAATGATAGAATTGAAGATCACGTTTTAAGTCGTGTGACGAATGAACGTAAAGCTCTAAAAAATTCATCTATAAGAGGCCCGTCATTTGGTGATGGCGACCTTACTATATGGAAATTAGATAGTTCGGCAGGATATGATTATTGTCGTAGTAAAAAAAGATATTATGAGAAACCAATTAGAAAAACTGATAACGAGTTTTTCGTAGAAGAATGGGAAGTGTTTCAAATAATTGAGCAATAATTGATTGTATCACAATAAATAAACGCACAAAACAGTAATACTTCAATTTTCTATAGATGAATTTATTTTAACTATTAATAAGCTTTTTAATTTTAAATCTATTCCTAACCAAACATATATCAAATAGTTTATCGGAAGTACTGTATAATGATGAATTTTAAAGTCAGGAAATACAGGAAATGATAAAATACGAAAATAAATAAATTAGATAATTATGAGTGTACTTTCATAATGAGTATTCGTATTTGATTCAATTTATAGAATCTAAAATATAAACTGTCTTATTTTTTTTATATAAGTGTAAGTATTATTGAGATAAAGATACAAAGTATATAAATAAGAATAAATAAAAACCTAAAATATGGAATTGTTGACAATTCGTTAGCTATAATTTATCATATGTCTATTATTTTTTTGTTTGAAAATAAAGACTATATATTATTCAAAATTCAATAATGTACCCAGATTTTATTTGTTTGTGCCATAAAATTATTTTCATAAATTATAAATTCGAATTATTATCTGTTGTTGAATTATCTCTATTTTGTCATATTGGTTTAAATAAAGTCACGTTATTTAATAATGAAATTATAAAATGAATTCACTTACTATATTGCTTATTTGCAATTTATTATGAAATGTTATTTTAAAAACTAAATTGATATACAGTAGTAACTAAAAATTGATAAAATTATTATTTATACCTTCTTATTATGTAATATTATTTGTGCTACAATATAGAAAAAGTGTAAGATTTACGCATTTTTAATGATCAATCATATACGTCATGAACACCCAAAATTAATTTATTGTATAAAATTTCATAAAATCATAAAATCAAGCATATAATATTATTAATCAATAAATGATCTAAAAATTCATTTGTTCAAAGCTATAAAGATTTGAATTCTTTTCGTATATGTAATTTTTTTGTGCTGCGTGATTGACATCGATTTCAACCATTTCGAAAGCTTATGTAATACTTACATAAGCTTATCATTTTTGGAATTTTTGTGTACAAATTTATCACTTGTGAATTACATATAAATATAATCGAAATACTTCAATATCAATGAATTTTTTTTAAGCGTTTATATAATGATGTTTTCCAAAAAAAATTCTTTAGAGATATCTAACATTCAAAAATATTTAGAAAAAAATCAAATATGTTGGACTAGTGGAAATGATAAAATTGATAATTTTGTCAAGGAAATGCAATCAAAAATCTATAATAAAGATTACGGATACAAAGTAGTATTTGAATGGATACTATATAATCAGTTTAGTGAGATCAAAGAAACAGAAAAAAATGATCTTATAACAGTATATTCAGCAATATGGAAGGATGGTCTTATATGCAAGCTTGCTGGATTAAGTGGTAATTTTGATTTTGTTGCCAATTATAAAAGAGATTCAAATAAAAAAGTTACTTTAAAATGTTTACATAATTCACAAGAATCTATTGATTCTTTAATAAATGAGGTATGAAATTTACTTAAATATTTAAATACTTTCTTTAATTAATAAATTTACTATCTCTTTTATTTATATTTAGGCTAAAAAATATTCAACAAAACATGTAACACTTCAAGTATTGTATGGAATATCTCAAAATCCAGATACAGGAGATTATATTTTGGTTCAAAATAATTATACATGGATTAGTGAAAATGGAAAAATTGACAATTTCATTCAGGAAAGGCAATTAAAATTTAATAAGTATGGTGATATAGTGCTTGAATGGATACCATACAACCAGTTTAAGGAAATCAAAGATACAGGCAAAAATGGCCTTATAACATTTTATTCAGCAATATGGATAGATGGTCCAATGCGACAATGTAGTTATACAAGAGATTCAAATAATAAAAAGGTCGCTTTAAAGTGCTTACATAACACACAAGAATCCATTGATTATTTAGTAAATGAGGTATGTAATTTCTTCAAATATTTAAATGCATTAATCAATATATTTATATTTACAATTTCTTTTATTTATATTTAGGCTAAAAAATATCCATCAAAATATGAAGCATTTCAAGCATTGTATGGAATATCTCAAAATCCTGTTACAGGAGATTATATTTTAGTTCAAAATAATTCTATAATCTTGGCAAATTATATCAGTAAAAATAAAAAAATTGATGATTTCATTCAAGAAATGCAATTAAAAATGAATTACTATAGTGCTATTGTATTTGAATGGATACCATACAATCAACTTGATGAAATTAAAGAAATAGTCAAAAATAGTTCTATAACAGTGTATTCAGCAATATGGAAGGATGGTCCATTGTATTGTGATAAACAACCATATTATGGTAAAAATTATAGTAATTACACAAGAAATTCAAATAAAAAAGTTGCTTTAAAATACTATAACTCACAAAATTCTGTTGACTTTCTAATAAATAAGGTATAACATTTATAAATATTCTTAACATCTATTAATATAATAAGTATATTCATTACTTTGTTTTATAATTAGGCTGAAAAATATTTAACAAAACCAGTCATGTATAATAGAGAAATTTGTAGTATACATGGAATATCTCAAAATCCAAAAACAAATAATTATATTTTAGTTCTTGCATGGACAAGTGGTAATGAAAAAATTGATGACTTTATTATTCAGAAAATGCAATTAATAAACAGCAATGATTATGGTTATATAATGCTTGAATGGATACCATACAATCAGTTTAATGAAATAAAAGAAACAGACAAAAATGGCCCTATAACAGTATATTCAGCAATATGGAAAGATGGTCCATTAGATTTCAATACTTGGGGTCATGAATACGTAAGTTCAAGATTTTCAAATAGAAAAGTTGCTTTAAAATGTTTACATGACTCTCAAAATTCTGCTGACTTTCTAATAAGTGAGGTATAACATTTTTATCAAAATATCTTAATACTATTAATAGTATATTTATCACTTTATTTTATATTTTAGGCTGAAAAATATTTAACAAATATGTTTGACAGAGTATTTTGTAATATATATGGAATATCTCAAGATCCAAATACAAACAATTATATTTTAGTTCTGGAATGGTCAAGTGGAAATTAAAAAATTGATATTTGCATTCGGGAATTGCAATTAAAAATTAATAACAAAAATGATATAATATTTGAATGGATACCCTACAATCTATTTGATGAAATTAAAGTAATTTTGAAAAATAATTCCATTACAATATATTCAGCAGTATGGAAAGATGATACATTACGTTATGATAATTTTTGTAGTAAATATACAAGAAACTCCACATTTGCTTTAAAACTTTTACATGGTTCACAAGATCTCATTGATTTTCTAATAAATGAGGTATAAAATTTTAATTGCCATTCTTTTTTTATAAAATATACTTATTCATATCATTATAACTTAGGTAAAAAAATATTCGACAAGTAAATTTTGTAAGGAGTTTCTTAAAATACATGGGATATCTCAAGATCCAGATACAAATGATTATATTTTGGTTCAAGAAAATTTTACTTGGGTAAGTGGAAATGAAAAAATAGATGATTTCGTTCAAGAAATGCAATTGAAAATAAATAACCATGAGGATGTAGTATTTGAATGGATACCATATGATCAATTTGATGATATTAAAGAAACAAGCAAAAATAACCTTGTGACAGTATACTCAGCAGTATGGAAGGATGGTCCAACAAAATGCTCAAAATACTATGGTTGTCACATTGATAATATTGGTAATATTAATTGTCGATATTCTAGTAGATATTCATATGAAAGAGTTGCTTTAAAATGTTTACATAATTCAGAAAATTCTATTGATTTCCTAATAAATGAGGTATAAAATTTCTTATAAATATTTGTACTACATTTTAATAATATATAAATGTATTAATTTTTTCTATTATTTATTAGGCTAAAAAATATTCAACAAAATATGGGCCATCCCCTATATTGTATGGAATATCTCAAAATCCAAATACGAATGATTATATTTTGGTTCAAAATGATTTAATGAACTTAGTAAATTGTTTGAGTGGAAATGAAATAGTTGATGATTTTATTCAAGAAATGCAATTAAAAATAAATGACTATAATGATATAATATTTGAATGGATACCATACAATCAGTTTAATAATATTAAGGAAATAGGTAAAGGTGGATTTACTACAGTATATTCAGCAAAATGGAAAGATGGTCTATTAGAATATGATAAAGTTAAAGAAATATATGAAAGGAATCCAGATAGAGTAATTGCCCTAAAATGTTTACATAATTCACAGAATATTAGTAATGAATTCTTAAATAAGGTATAAAATTTTTTAAAAATCATTTTTAATTATTTTTTATACGAAAGAAATAATAATATATTTAAATTATTTTTGATATCAATGTATTTTAATAGGTTAAAGAGTACTCAATAAATAGGAGTAGTAATATTCTTAATATATATGGAATATCTCAAAATCCGGATACAAAAGAATATATTATAGTTCTCAAATATGCTAAAAAGGGAAATCTTAATGATTGGATAAATAAGAATTATGAATATTTTGATTGGCAAGCTAAATTATCTGTATTGGATAATATCATTTGTGGTCTTAAAGAAATTCATCGGAAAAATATGGTTCATCATGATTTTCACACAGGAAATATATTATTTTTAAGTAATATAAAAGATTTTAATATGAATTATATATCAATTTCGGACACAGGATTATATGGAGAAGTTGGTAATAAAGATGAAATGAATATTTATGGAGTTATGCCCTATGTGGCTCCTGAAGTATTAAAAGGAAAGCTTTATACTCAAGCAGCAGATATCTATAGCTTTGGAATGATAATGTATTTTGTAGCAACTGGACAACAGCCTTTTTACAATTGTGCACATGACCACCATCTAACATTAGATATTTGTAAAGGAATTAGACCTGAAATATATGAACCAGAAGCACCAAGCTGTTATATTAATTTAATGAAAAAGTGTTGGGATTCAGACCCAAACAATAGACCAAATATTTTTGAAGTAAATGATTTAATCACATCGTTTTATAAGTCATCTGGAGTGGATTTCTACATTGTTGAGAATGAAGAAATTGAAATGCAATTCAAAAAAGCAGAAGAATATAGAAAAGCCAATTTTTCATCTATTAAAAATTACCAAGCAGCTATTCATTCACAGGCTATTTATACATCTCGTTTACTTAATCCTTTTACAAAAGATCTTAATAATCTAATCAAGTGATAGTGATAGTACAAATTTTTTTCTTATCATTAAATTAAATTATCCTCCTGATTTGATATTTTATAACTGTTATTTTATTTATAGGAAATTTGCAATTAAGTACATAGTTTTTGTCCAACACTGTATTTATATTATGTAAGTTTTTTATTTTACATAAATAAACCAGTTTGTAATTGGATAAACTGTATAATATATTATATATCCCTCCATTATTTAAAAATGTGTAACATCATCGTAAATCAATATTTTCAGAATAGTAAGAGATAATTCCGTCTTCTATAAAATATATGAGTGAAATTGTTTGATACATTTGTATTATTTATTTTCAAAATAATACTTCCATTCCTCATGTCTGTATGTAAGTATTGAATAAAAGTAATATATGTAAATTTTAAATGATATTTAAGGTTATTTTTTTTATAATAAATTTACATTCAATAATCAGAATTAGCAAATATAACAAAAAAAAATGAAAGTGATAAAATAAATTCATTTGCCAAATATATAATAATGTCTATAAGACATATTCATATTGATATTCTTATCAAACAAATACACATAATGAATAACTTAAAGTTTAGTGTTACATTAAATAATGTTATAAATAAATTCATTCTTAATATTCTTAGTAAAATATCTGATTAGGTTCCTGGATTATTATTAATAATGTATTTAAATAGGCCATTGTATCATTTGATACTCAAATAAAGAATTGCAAAAGTAGGGATTTATAACCATAGAATAAAAGTAAAAGTAATATGTTTTTTAATAATAAAGTCTCTCCTCGATTGAGTATATAAATATCTCTCTCTTTAAAATCAAATATGATAACAAATATACTAAGTGTAAATACTATTGTAATACTTGAGTAATAAAAAGAGATATAAAAAAAAGAATAATTACACAATTTCAATGTCTTCAATAATGATGTTTATTGTGAAAGATTAATATTACATATTTTCTCTTTAGATCAATTAAAAAACTATAAATACCAATTCAATCAACCTTGTCAGAAATCATTGATTTTAACAAATGTAATTAAATTTTTAGAAATAACTAACCTATAAAAAGGTAACACAATACAATGACAAAAAATTTTATTATTTAGAAAATTTAAAGACACAATTATAATGACCAAGAAATGGGACTTCTCTCACACTAGACATTCCAAAGTCATTATATTTAAAATTGAAGTTCTGATATATTAAAATTACTGAAGGTCTCAAAAAAATAAAGCAATAAATGAAAAAAATAAAGTATTTCATCGCTAATAAAACTTTCCTAATATTACTATTAGCTTTTCTCATTTGTTATTGGAGCCACGATTTTTTGCTAAAAAATTAAGGATAGATTCGGAGATAGACAAAAATAGCTCTCACAGTCTCACGAAATTACAAGTATTGCTAGTTTGGCAAAAAGAAGGAACTATCTATAACCTCCCTGACTAGGACTGATTACCTTGTGAATTCACATTATCTCTTCTTGTATTTTTTCAGTTATATAGTATCATCACTACAAAGAAAAAAACAGGTCAAAAAGAGTAAAAATTTTTTTCTTCTTAGCGGAGATAATATCTTCTAATTGTTAAACTTTGTTTTCCAGCATTCTTATGGACTTATCAGCAGAAGCAAGAGTTTTTCTTATTATCTGAATATCATCCTTGGTAAAGGCAATGGAATAACTGTGTGATTTTTTTATTTTTTCTTCCAACATTTCAGTTTCATGAGATTCAATGCGTTACATTTTGTTATTATATTTGTCCTCCAGATTTTTCTTTAATAAACGCAAGCTATCAGCAAATCTCTCATGTTCATCTTGTAAACGTTTGGATTCAGCACTAAGACAAGCTTCGATATCCATTTAATCTGTTTGGTTATTGTTTTCTGAATTTCTATTTTCGCTTGTTCAATTTATTCACATATTCTTCTTCACGTTGGCGCAAGGGATTTTCACTATCAGTTATCTCTTTTTCTCGTTCAAAAAGAGTCTATTCGAATGAAACTAACCTGTTAAGAGTATCAATCACACCTGGAGTCGTATTTGCAGTTGTTTTCAGTCATTGATGATCTTTTTCTTTGTGTAATTGATTACTTCTCGATTCAACAATTTCTCCACTTCAGGATGAATACTACTCGCTTCTTCTATTGTTAGTGGAAATTTCCAAGTTGTGAAACGTCTTTATATATCATTTTTAATAAGAACGAGGAAGTTAGTTAAGCTGTAAGTGAAAAGATGGAAATAATGAGTTGCTCATTTATCCGAAGAGTACTCAATAGTTATCCTATATGTACGTGAGAAAAAAATCATAGAATTCATAGAACTCTGTGCTTCTTAGAATTGGGAATTCCATACATTCGGTAATGAAAATAAATTGTGTTTATCATGTTTGTTAGGTTTTATTATGTTAACGAGTAATTATGTGAATACAGAATGATGGAAATGGAAATAAAAAATAATACCTAAGTATATGCGTAAGAACATATAGACTAATTGGAACTCATCGTTTGTTCTAAGCGTGGGACAACACTCGCTACATCACACGACAAAATATACCAAAGTAAAGTAAAAACGCGTCTTTGGTTTATTATTTGTTTAAAAGAAAAAAATTACATATTGCGATTCATACTATGATAATAAAAAAAAAATATTAGAATTCTTCAGAGATTATTGCTAGACATCTTATTAGTAAAGAATGTATTAAAAAATTGCGTATAAAAATCATGATTAGAGAAATATCCCAAATCCTCAAACCATCTCCCCACTATGTGTCTTAACATTAAGTAATGACTATTTGGTATAACCATTACGTATATGTATGACTCCTTAGAATCGATATTATAAATGTCTAAATTTGATCCGATTAGCTCTATTCGATCATTTTTTTTATTATATATTCCCTTTAATATAAACTTTACAAAATATTACATAATTGAATATCAGAAATTTTGAAGTTTGGTAGATATGCTAATACCATTATTTCAAATTGTACAAAAGTTTATACACTATAATTCAACTACCTTTTGTTAAATTGTTCTTTCCCTTAAACTATTTCTTCTTTATAGAAATCCAATCATCAAAACTAGAATTTAGCTTTTATTTCAACTGTTTTGGTAAGTTTGGCTTATATGCCAAACGCAATGTATGTCAAAAGTGTTCGGAAATTGTATTGTTATTGTGGCATTAACTGCAAGATCACCATCAGTTACAAAAACTTTTGATGACGCACCAGTTGCTTCTTTTACACATTGAAAGGCCCATTCATAGGAAAGTTGTGTTTCATCATCAACAATTGCTTGTGCTACAATTCGATTCTTTAAATTATTGTCTGAAATAACAAAAAGAGACAATGGGTGATTATACCAGTTGTTTTGTAAGTATTATCATGCATTATCACATCATGGTATCGCAACCACAAAATCTGCTATTCAGGACTAATCCAAGAAAGATGGGTTAATGAAGAAGTAATTTGATCAAATTTCATTGAAATTATCCATCGTGGATCCTCAGTTTTTTATCATGAAGCCTTTTTAATAACATTCCTGCATCTTCTTCACCTGGTGTTGATTCACGTCGAAATTTACTGATAGCATTATAAAGATCCAGTCGGCATATTCTAGTCTTAAATTTTTCTCGAATAATCCGATATTGTTCTGTTGCATTTATAACATTAAAATGAATTTCTTCAAGGAACTCTTCTGGTAATTTTCGTTATGTTGGAATAAATTGACTTGCTGATGGATGACATTCATGTCCAATATGTTGGTCGTTGAATTATGTGACTTCAAGATAACCCTTACTCTTTTTAATCCATATATTAAACAAGATGATACACTTGTAGGACCCTTTTAATTAGACCTGGCTTTTCCGGCGCCGGCACAAATAAGTTCGCTTCAATACTTCACCACCAATTCGCATTCCATGACCTTTAGCAGCACTGCAGCAGCAAATTTCTTCATGATATTTGCTACATGATCCCAACTTGATATGTTTTACCGACATAAATCTTTGAAATGTCACTCTTGTCGGTATTTTCTACTTCTTATATTATGTTTTCATTGCATACATCATCGGACATACTATTCAAGAAAAAAAAATCCCACATGTCTTGTTTTTTTTCATTTAGACAATGTCATGAAAAAGGCAAATTATTACTTGCCTGTCAGTATCAGAAAAATCTTCTGAACTATCGTGTGCCAATAAAGTCTCGAACTCTGCATTTTGAATGGTTTCTTTCATATTTTGTATAAATCGTAGTATTGTAGAATGCTTAATTGTATTTTATTTAATGAAAATAAAACAAAAGAAACTGGGATACACTATATTATAATGATGAGCTCTATGGGAAAATAAGCTTTCGCCAAGTAACCAATGAATTACGAAATGTATGACAATCTCATACGTATAAGTATGATAATTGCGTGATAAAGACGTGATATTTACAAACTGCCACATATTAATCGTGATATTTACAAATTTAAGAATTTATTGCACGTGATACACTTTGTTTGTATTATTTTGCCAAAATTTATCTTGTGAAAATCTTCATTATACGAAGAACAGATTCGTTTAAATGAAAATTCGTCATATAAAGAGTTATTTTGTATATGCGAGTTATAAAAATAACTTCGTTAAACGATATATATAAAATTAATTGATGATATTCAATATGAAAAGAACTTTTTCATATGTTAAAATCGATACCATGCTGAAGATTTGTTGTATTGTGAAATTCATTATATCAAAATTCGCTATAAAAAGAGTTAACTATTTACTTTTTACTGTTTCCTGTATCTTTAAAACTTTTTTTTTTTTTTTCAAACTGTAACGCATCTCTTTATTAAGGACAGACAAATCCCTTTTAGAAATACCTAGAAACGTTCGTCAACACGAAACGCCTCTATAACAGAGTTCAATCTATCCTAATACAAATAAAACAAATATAACAAAAAAAATTAAATACTAAAAAAACAAACAAACCTGATACACTCTAATAGGACCTAACTAAAATTAAAAACTA